CATTTGGAAAGTCGAAAAATTCCTCTACCAACTTAATAGAAAGTCGGTGAAGTCAGGAGAAGCATAGGAAATTTTCAGTGAGAGAAGATGCTTGAGTTCTCCTCTAGCAAAACATTCAGACATTCAACTCAAAAGTGACTGTCGTCAAGTAGTACTAACATGGGTAAACCTGCGAAAACGGATCGGCACTTGCTTGTAAGCTCTAGCAGAGTGGAGAATATGACACTTCTGAGACAGTTATATCAACATTGATGAGGGGGAAAAACGATCTTTGGATGTTTCGGCACATTTTTAGATTGAATTCCATCTGCGTCAACTGTCAGAATCGAGAGATAATGTAATATGTGGCAGTCTAGCTTCTACTTTTGTTCAGTGTCCCTTATTGCTTTGAAGAAATTATAAATTGATGATAGAGCTGCTAGATTTTTTGCGTCACCTTTTTCCGATGAACTTTATAGGCTGGATATTTAACGTTATGAGCAGCATGTTAAGGTGGAGGGTCGTCTATCTTCTGATTTTCAGTCGAACGCTGCGCTCGAAATTGATTAGATGGAGTGCAGGTTACATTTCCGCAGTACACTGGCAATCTTATCAAAACAAGAAAGTTTAAGGAGCTCGAAGGAACAGCTCTGTTTCCGTGTGTCTTCTGTACAACTTCTTTTGTAATTTCTTTTGGTCTTATAGTTGAAGGTACCTGAACACTGGGCTAGTTTTGACCTCACTTAACATTTTCGAAAAATTATTAAGTCGAAATCGTTACCAGATAGGTACGCCTGGGAAGGTACGCTGGGAATAGAGCTCCGAGATTATTTTTATGTATTTTGCTGAGGATGCCTGCTAGAGTCAAAGAAACAATGTTCCTTCCAAAAATGCTACCAACTTTTGTGACGTTTTGCTCAAATTGATTACTGCTACCTATCGATAAGAAGAATACATTGCAGAAAGCTGAAATGGAAAACATTCGTGGCGTTGAAGGTTCCCTCAAAGAAGCTCACGACCACGAAACTAGTCTGAGCAATGAGATTGAAAAGTTGCGTCGCGGAATCTCCGAGTTGGAAGAAGCGAAGCAGCGAGAGGTGCGCTAGCAGTTTACTGCTGATTTTGATTGTGTAAGAAATGTAGTGGTTAGCACAGGTTTATTACCCTATCCTTTGAGCTGTAAGGCGCATTTATTTGTACGTTCACAAAGATAACTTTTCTTATTTCTCCTTTTTCCTGTTTAATGTTTGCTATATATCTCCTCTACTTCCCCCTTCTAGGTTTTCTTTTAGAAAACCCGTAAAAAGGGTAGAAGACTGGGGAAGCTTAGGAAGGCTGTTCTACGGCTGAGATATCGAACGCGGATACTCAGACTGGGGAGATTGGATATAAGATCGTACTAGCACCGCCATCTCACAAGTCCCGAACTAAACCCTGTATCAGGAGCAGCAGGAGGGCTTGGTCCCGTTAATGTCTGGAACGTTAGTTCTCTGTCTGAGGTTTCCGGTTCGTTTTTTTTTTGGTTAACTGGCTTGAACAATATTGCAGATTTCCGAGCCCAAATTTTCAACTGGCAATGCTTCCTTTTTGTTTGAGTTGAAATATTTGTGCGATCATTGTTAAAGCTCAGTTAAAAGCTGTATGCTTATGTTTGTTGCAGGTCGCTGAGCTCAAAGATTCATTGGCGTCTGCGGCTGAAAAGCACCGAGCTGAAATTGCCGAGTTGATGCAGGAACATGATGAAATCGTGTCGTCAACTCGAAAGCAGCAACTGATTGAGCTGGAAGCTATGAAAACAAAGTGCGTTGGGATGCTTCTTAATGTCGCTGTAGTCGACATGCGCGAAAACATCTAACTTCCTGAGACGAATCCGAGGATAGCTAAGAGGGACGAGGGAGTTCAAGTGTTACGTATTTCAAGCTGTCAACGCATGATGTTGCTACTGGTTCAGCAATTGTTTCATTCAGAACTTATCAAGACTTTTGAAGAAAGATAGGCCTATTTTTGTGCCTAATTTGGTCTTGGTCCCATTACGGACACTCAATCCCTTTAATCCGTTCTTTGAAAGCTCTATCCCCTGGCTCCCCACACGTTTTGCACCTTTCTATGCTTTGGTAGCCGGGGTCTTTTGTCTCCCTGCTTTACAGGATTTCACACTAGGACCAGAGAACTTCAAAATGGTCCCATCTTCTCTCTTGACGCTATGCAAGTAGATTGTTCAGTTGCAGAATAGTTAGTAACCAGCTGAGATCAATTTTATGTTAAGTGTATGGAGTGTGAACACATTTCTCTCTTCTTCATTATTCAGATTCGAGCTGGCTCGCGAGGAAGCGGATAGTCTACGTCTCAAAAATGACACATTGGAAAAGCAACTGGATCAGCTCGATGAGACTTATACGCTAGAACGCACTCAATCAGAAGTTGTTTTCATTGAATTTGTGCAATCGGTGACGCTCATTTGGGAGTAGACTCATTTCAGAAAGCTTTACAAAAGCAAATAGAAGATCTCAATGAAAAGCTGAGAAGTCAAGAAGCAACACATCAAAGTCAAAATGAAGCTGATATAGCTGGCATGCGGGATTCGTACACTAGACTTTGCGAGACCAATGATGACCTGAAAAAGAAGCTCGAAGAACTTACCAACTCTTCTGACCAGCAAATATCAGAGTAGGTTTCAGGTTTTGTTTTGGTGATTTTGTAAAAAAGCTTAGAAAATCACTGCTCAGAAAGTAAGTTTATTTAGTGATCCTGAACGTTGAGGTCTTCGTAATCTATTTCGAATGTATTAAATCGTGACCATAATCTAATTCATATTGGTTCAAAAGCTCTTTTTCGTTTTTCTTATAACGACTTTCCCTTCCTCTCTGCCTTTTTTCTTTTGCCTTTCTTCTTTATTTCCCTTTATTTTATTACATAACTCATGACTACCTCTCCCTTTACTTCCTACAGCTCACGCGTAAACAAACGACATGCCTTGTTAAAACAAGAAAACACGCCAAAAAGAAAACAATCGGACGTAGAGGCAGTATGAATCCCTCTGTTCTCCTTGGTACAGTCTGCTTCGGCGCGGATGATGGGGC